TTTCTTTATTTGAGGGGAACATTCTCTTCTCTCCTACTATCATGTCCATTCAGCTGGCTAACACATTTTTCAGAACTCAGCTTAAGTCTCAAGTGCTATAACTCAAGACAGCCTTTCTTGGTCCCTCCAGTCTGACTAAGATTTCCTTACTCACTCCTATCACACCACTCACTGCTTATGTTGAAACGAGCAGAGCACGTGTCAAGCTCTTCCTGACTGTAATGTCCCCAGCACAGGATCCTTTCTTAATCACCAATATGAACTTGAACACCCTAGCCTTGTGCCAGGTACCCAGTATATGTTTGTAGAATGGAAGATCCAGACAGGAAGTCATAAGACCTTGGCCAGGAACTTAACCTGCCTATTTCTTGGGTTTTTTGTAAGTGAAGTTAAAAGGTAGGTATATTAATTCTAAACTCTGGAAGGGAATCTTATCCAATAGCCCCTTCAATACGAATCTTTATTCCCTTTCTGCAGCAAATCTGATGTCATCTTTAGCCTTAAAATCCCAAGATTTTGAAATGTAATGCAATACTATTATTAATAATGGTGGCAGGATCAGATTAATGGCACATCTTAGAGTCTGTGTGGAAGACACAGTACTGCAGGTTATGAGGTACATGGGAATTGCTTTTATTTGCTCAGCAGGGCATCCAAATGTATAGGATAACGGGATGCCTTTAAAAAGGGTTTGGGGAACCTAGCAAGTCTAGTACTGGTTTTGCTGACTTGGAACTGAAGCTCCAAAACTGTCTTGTACACTGAAGGGTCCAGGGTGCAGGCGAGACATGCGGTGGGTTGGGGGCTGCCTGGGAAGAAACCACAGAGGGCTTTAACCACGGAAGAGGATTGTCAAAGTTGGCGAATTTTCTTTTTAGAAAGGTCATTTTGACAGCAAAGTGGAGACTGGATTGAAGACTGGAGACAGGAAGTTGATCGCTTCTTTTTTTCTATTCACCAGGCTGCCCATCCACCCCAGCAAGCAAGCATTTCTGAATGCTTGGCTCTGAGAACGAACCCTGTAATCAGATTGGCCGGTCTTTCAAATCCTGTCCTGCCACTTACCCATCTGTGTGACTTTGGGTGAATCACTTAATTCAAGGGTCCTCACCCCTGGGCTGCTGGCTGGTACCAGTCCATGGCCTGTTAGGAACTGAGCCACACAGCAGAAGGTGGGCGGCAGGCCAGGAGCAAAGCTTCACTCATATTTCCGCCTGAACTCCTCCACCTGTCCACCCCCAACCCCAGCCCTGTCCGTGGCCCATGGAAAAATTGTCTTCCATGAAACCTGTCCCTGGTGTCAGAAAGTTTGGGGACCACTGAATGAGTCAATAATTCAATTTAATCAACTGAAAAACAAGACTAATGATAATATCCATTAATGCTTCCTAGGTTGGTTGGGAAAGATTAAATAATAATAAATGCTTGGCACTATGCCAGAAATGAACCATTCATAAATGTTTTGCTATTTTGTTAATATTGACAGGTTGGTGGTACAGATTTGGTAGATATTATGGTACTGGGGATGGTGTGACGACCGTCACTACAATGAGATTCAAGTTGGCATTTGCTGCACATGTACAACTTACAGAGCATCGTGCTGGGCAACGAGGGCTGTGCGGAGGTCCATGCCTCCAGACAGAATGTGTTACCTGCTGTAATTAGCGCAGTGGTGGAGGTTCAGGAGACTTGTTTGGAGAAGGTGGGGTTTGAGATGGGCCTCCAAGGAGGGATAAGACTCCATCCAGTGGGCGGACATGAAGGGCAAGGACTCTTCGTGCACAGGCAGTGAGTGAATGGCAGGGCAGTCAGGAGGCAACAGCATGAGAACACATAAAAAAAAAACCTGGGAAGACAGGTAGGACCAAAATATAGGAATTCTCTAGGAAGTATAAGGAGAGATAGAGTATTAAAATATGGGTAAGTGTCAAACCATTTTCAGTAGAGAATTTTGAATTCCATTCTGAGGATCTTAGACTTTACTGTGAATCCCAGGAGGGGGCAGAAAGATAATATTGGCTTATATTTAGACAGATTTCATGACAAAGCCATGAATGAGTGTGGAAGAGGAAAAGGAGATGGAGGAGACCGAGTAGAAGGCTATTGGAAGAGTCGAGGGCACCGAGAACCTGAATTATTGCCCGAGGAGGAAGGAAAGGATGGGCTAAGGAGCTTTCCCAGAAAAGAAGTGAAGGGATGCAGTGACTCATGTTTCGTGGGGTGAGATGGAGGAGGTGGGTTTGCAGCCTGACAGACCAGGAAATGATAACACTGTTGAGAATGGGAAGTGGGAGGGGCTGGGAGGAAAAAAGGTTTTTAGTTGGAGGTGCTCCTGAGACATGTGTTTGGAGAATACATCCTCATGGCTGCAGACCATTGGACTGAAGCAAGTCAGTGTGAGCAGGGTCGGAGCAGGTAGAGGAGTCCCCGCTAAGGCACAGTTGAAGTCACAGAAAGCAGGAGGTGGCCAGGGTGGAGAAGGACTAGCCTTTGGAGAAGGACTGCATTTCATTCGGAGCACCAAGAGAGAAGGGAGTGGCTGAGACAGGAGGAAGAACAGGAGAAGTGTAGGTCACATGGAGAGGAGGAGAGATTTTCAGGAACAATGCAGGCGACTAACAGTCTTACAAGCACAGAGGCCAAAGTGACAAATGACATTCTAAGTTGTTTGTTGATGGATGGGTTGAAAGCAGAATTTTAGGTGTCTTGGGTGGCATATATAGGACCCGCCAACATGGGGCCACTAGGAAGTGAAGAAGTGATGGTGTTTTGACCAAGTGTCTGACATTCATGTGGCTTCTGGAGAGCTGGGCTGAGTTTCCTCTAGGTAAGAATGTTTTGCCCACCCCTCGCTTAGATTCCCCCTCCTTAGACAGTTTCAGTAGGGATTCAGAGTTGAGGAAGGATAAAGAGATGTCCTCTCCATTCCTGAGTCTAAAGAGATGAGATGTCCTCTCCATTCCTGAGTCTGAAGTCACCATGTGGGAAGATGTCCTGTATCTAACATAAGACAGAAGCTGAGCTGTGGGTTCACCGTGTCTGGCGTGGGCATGTGCTAAATGTTAGCCACCTCTGGTATTTCTCCCAGAAAACCAGCAAAGTAATCCTAGAAGGTAGTTTAAAACTTGGCTGTAGGTTGCAGTTGGCCCCAGAGAAAGGAAGCTGCCCCGAAAGGTGAGCACTTGAGTCTACGCTTCAGAAGCTCCCGCCCAAGGGTGTGGGCTAAGATCTGCGTCCACCATCCGAAAGCTCAGCTTTGCCAACTAAGGAAAAGGAACATCTTTTTCTTTCCTAGGGTTTGTAGTAGCAAATGAGTTCAGAGAGCCAGAGGATAAGGGTGTGGGTGGGGTGAGAACCTAAGAGCCTCATTTTCTAAATCACAGTTCATGTTAGTATAATAAGTGAGTTTCTAAATTTAAATTCTGTTTTGGGATAGAGCAAAAAAAAAACATTGGGTTCTATGTGTCTTCACACATCCTGTGGTCACATTTGTCTTTCTTTTCTCTGGTCTCCTTTTCCCCCTCCCTCCATCAGTTTTCTTCCAAAAGTCAGAACACTGCCCTCTCCCCACTGCTGTCCTCCCTGCAGCTGCTGCGTTGGGTCAGGACCTTCCTTTCCATTCTCTTTGTGAAGGATCCCGGGGTGGAAGTTTCTGCTGAAAGGAGCACGATTTTCATTGCAAATGGGTCCAACAGGACATCTGACATTGCAACTGGGTCTTCATGCAAATGACAGGGATCCCCACCCTGCCCTCCCCTTGTCTGGGGAAGGTGAGGAGGCTGCGAACCCTCACAGTTGGGCTCCCGTTGTTTCCAGAGCCTGTCCTGGCTCTCTGACTGCTGAGTGGCTTTGGGGTGTAGGGGGGGTGGCGGGAGGGTGTGCCCTTGCCTTTCATATTCCTCACCTTGTGCTTCTTTGCCCTTCCAGGCTCACACTTGATTTCCTTCCCATTTCCACGGTCTCTCTTCTACTCTTCCTTTTCCTTTTTCCATCTTCCTTTCATCCTTCCAAAGCAAACACCTATTAAACCTTTCCTGCATTTAATTGTGTCTCCTCTTTCATCTCTTCTCCTTGCAGCTCATTAAGAACACAAGCGAGTGTCCAATTGTAAATACTTACACCACTGATAAGTGCTGCTGGAAATGGGTCTGGCACTGTGGGGTGTGCAGGGCGTCTGCTGGAGAGGCATTTAGGGGGCAGGTAGTATGGAAGGTGGAAACTGCTGCTGTGTTCATCTATACCCTGGGCAGGGAAGCAGGGGCCAACATGGCTTACAAGGAAGTAGTATAGTGTGGTGAGTTACCAGTCAGGAGACCAAAGCTTGTTTGTAAACCCTTTGTGATCAGAGGACACTTAGCTCCTCTTTGGCAGGCATTGGTCTTCATTTTTAAAAGAGGGATCTTGGTATTTGATTTAAGAACCCAGTGAAATAATATGTATGTGAATGCTTTGAAAAGTAGGATTATTATTGCTATTTAAATGGACAGAACCTCACAAACAAAATGTAAAAACTGGATTCGCCACATGTGTAAAATGAGCTGATGGTATTGGATGATCTCAAACAAGTCTTCCAGCCCTTATTCTGTTTTTTTTTTTCCTGGACAGTTCTACACATATAACACAGGCTCTAAAATTATTAGGATGGATGGACGGACAGACGGACGGACAGACGGATGGATGGATGGATGGATGGATGGATGGATGGATGGATGGATGGATGGATGGATGGATGGGCAGACGGATGGACTGACATCTAAATGTCCAATTACCCTCCTTACCCCTTCCTAGTCTTACTTCCATTTCACATGGACACCACTGCCCTCTTCTGGCCAGTATCAGTACTACGGTGCATTGAGCGTAGCTGGGCCCTCTTCTCCCATTTCTCCCGAGCCCCAAACCCAGGCTCCCTGAGCCGGCCCTCTGGGACCGTCCTGGCCTTGGTTACTAATGGCCTTTTCTCCTCCTCTGCCCCCTCCACCCTGTTCCTTGTACCCCTGCAGCACTGCCAGTAACTCCAACCGCAGCACGCCGGCCTGCTCCCCTATCCTGAGGAAGCGGTCTCGCTCGCCCACCCCGCAGAACGCCGACGGCGACGCCATGGTGGAGAAGGGCTCGGACCATTCCTCCGACAAGTCCCCGTCCACGCCGGAGCAGGGCGTGCAGCGCAGCTGCTCCTCGCAGTCCGGCCGGAGCGCAGGCAAGAACTCCAAGGTGAGCTGGCTGATTTGTTGGCCAAGGGGGACAAGTGGTATTGGGTACTGTGAGGGAGACCACCCCTTCCTGGAGGGGCCCGAGTGTCTCAGGAATAGTCTTCCCTCCATGAGGCGAGGCAAGACTGAGCAGGCAGGGGGCCCCCCAGTTATAGTTCATCTTCCCAGCTAAGCGCCCGGAGAGGGGCTGGGCACTGGTAAAAGAAGTCCACAGTGACTGCTACTCTCCTTAGCAACTAGGGAGCCTCAGGTACCTTGATAATGGGAAGAGGGATGCTCCGGGGATCAAAAGGGGTCATCTGCTTAACCCTTTTAACTGTCCCAACTTTGAGGTAGAAGGGGGCCCTTGTTTGGGATGACTGTAGTACCAGGAAGGGTCCTCAGGGAGCGTGGCAGAATGTTGTTTTCCACCTCCACGCTGACCATCACCCATTCTTCCCTTCCTAACCTCCATCTAATATGCATCTGTCCCAGGACACAGCCACAGGGCCTCTCCACCCCTCCTACGTGGTCAGCACTGCTGCCTGAGCATGAGCCTTGACCGGAGCATAGGCATAAAGTAGCCCCAGGGCTAGACCACGTCCAGTGCCCCACCCCAGGAGGCTTCTTCTCCCGTCACTCCTGGGGATGTGGGGCACACATATCCCCAGATGCCCCTTCACCACTGGATCACAGGCCCTGGGGTGGCATGGGGGGCTGGGAGGCATGGAAACGGGCGTCCCGCCTGAATTTGTCTTTTGATTTCTTGTTCTTCCTCTTCTTCCCCACCATTCCCCAAATACCTTCTTTGCATGCATGGTCTTAGTCTCACAAGCGCCTCTCAAAAGTAAGCCATCTTTCGTCTCTGTCTTTGGTCTCCCTCTGACGTGGAATTGTCTGTAGTGCATTGCATCCTTCCCTCTGCCCCACCCATTCTGGCCCTTGTCTTGCTTGGTCCCTTTCCTGGAAGGCCAGCCCCACTGCCCTTGGCAGGCTGGCTTGACATTACTGAGGGACCATTTCCTCTGCATCTGGAGTCGGAGAACAGACCTGCACCCCCTTCCCCCATGTCTGCCTGCTCCCCAAACACTGCCTGGGGCTGGGGATCTGTTCCCTCCTTACATGGTGCCAGCTGGAAGCAGAGTCTGGCCAGGACTGTTTCATTCCTTCAGGGGAGGGAGGCTCTATCCACTGGGACCTCAGTACTGATACATCCTTAGATCTTCAGTGAGTGATTCCTGGTTCCCTGATTGAGGGTCCTGAATTCCCGTAGGTGAGTGCCATGATGCACTGAATGACCTTGGGAGCCCTACCTGGCACCTCCTTCCTTGTGCCTGCCTTCCAAGAGCCACCCAGCCTGAGCACCCCATGCCCCTCCCATCCATTGCCAGCAGGGGCCCCTCTTGTTCCCTAAAGGCTGGAGAGAGCTCACCAGGGCATCTCCTCCCAGCAGGGCATGGCACCACACCTGGGGCTGGTGGGTGTCAGTAGCAGCCCCTTCAGGCTCTGCAGAGCCATGGCCAGGTCTGGCCAGGTCCAGTGCCTGGAGTCCTCTCAGGACCCAGGATCCCTGAGGCCTGAGGAGAACTGGGAGGTTGAGCAGTAGGTGTCCTAGAGTGTCAGGGTCAGGGTATGAGCCCCACAGGGAAAGGGTATCGCCTCAAAAAGAGAAAGCCGAAGGGTGACTTCATAACAGTCTCAAGCCTCTGTAAGTGTTTTGGGGAGGAGGAAGGTGAACAGCTGTTGTCTTTCCTGCAGAAGGACCTTCAGGTTGAAAGTACATCTGGGTTCCAAGGAAGGTCAAAGACTCGCGCTGGCTATGGACAGGGGAGGCACTCCACGTGGAGTAAGGAAGCCAGGAGGTGTTCTGGGTGTGTCTGGGCGGCTCAGCGGGTGCAGGCTCATCTAGTGACAGGTCTTCAAGTTGGCCTCTGCCTGCCCTCTCAAGCCCCCAGCACCCCACCTGGGGAGAGAGCAGATGTTGCTGGAAGGGGCATCAGGTTATTGCATCTCTCTGAGTCTGCCCACAGTGTTTGCGCACTTTGCCAACCTAAGGGGAAGCCCTAAGCTTCCTTGCCCTCTGCCCAGCAAGGTGCTTGATGAACAGAGAGATTCTTATTTATGGTCATTAGTCGCCACCACTCAGAGTGCCTCTTGTCCTCAGGAGGCAGGTTGAGGGGAGTTTTCAGTAATGAGGATTTGTTAAAATCTCCCAAGTAGGTCTTTGGAAAAGGAATGTGAAACCAGATTCCTCACCCTCAGGCAGAACACAGTCGGAGAAGGGGGATAAGAAACTACTTAGATTATCCACAATCAAGCCTGAAAGGAGAAGCCCTGGTGTAGCTGGGTGAGTTCGGGGGCGGAGACTTGTTTAGGAGCAGGTGGCTAGATATGTCTCAGAGAGCCAGGGCACTGAGTCAGGCCTGGGCTCTGAGATTTCGGAAAGGCACCATGGGGCATGAAGAAGTGACCATGAGCTGAGTGTGAATTGAGCATTAATTTTGGCCCCTTTCATAAGGAGCTAAGGGGGAGGTCACTGAAAGACTCGGGTTTTCCTTCCCTCTGAGGAGCGAGGCTGAGGCAGTGCCAGCCCCAGTGGACACACACCCTCCAGTCCCTGGCTTTGGATGGCCACCTCTCCACCACATTCTCCCACCAGTCATGACCGTGCCACCAACAGCACCATCCTTTAAGTGCAGTTAAAACAAGGCTGACGTGGGGGAGGGGCACCCTACACTCCAGGTCTGGGAAATGGGTGTGTGGGACACACAGACTTTAGAGTTAGGTTTTCCCCAGGTCACGGCTGGGAGCAGGAAGTGAGGGAAAGTGGTAGAGGTGAGGTGGAGAGAGAAGGAGAATGTGCTTGTGTGGTGGGGAGAGACCCCCTCCCCCTCTGGGGGCATGGTCTCAGGTGGACCGCGTGTTTCTGTGGCAAGGGGGCTGGTGGCTGGAGCTCCTGTCAGTGTTATCCCAGCCAGGCCACCGCACTCCCTGTCTCAGTCCACCTCCTGGAGGAGGCAACTGCATTACTCTTGGCGGGACTGGAGAGAGCTTCCACCGCCCCCAGAGCTGGCCTCCCGCTTAGTGTCTGTCTTCCTTCCTCCGGCCTCCATGTCTCCTTGGGCCTCTCTGTGGGGGCTGAATTAGTGGATCAGTAGTGTCCCTCCCCTGTAAATCTGAAACTGCACTGATGAGGCTGGCCTCGGGGGCAGCCCTGACCAGTGCAGTGGGGCTAAAAGACGTCAAGGCTCATTTCTACTACCCAGGACCCTTGGAGTCTGTGCTACCCGCCAGCTTCCGCTCTGTAGTGCCGGTTTGGGGCCACTAGAGGGAGCCAGCGGCCGTCTCCCGCTCTTACCAGCTCCCTGATCTAGGATGGCCGCTGGGTGCGCTGCGTCACCTTGGCTCTGGGTCCCTGGGCCTTTTTTCCCCTTGACTTTTCCCGTTTTTCATTCCTCATTTTTGTGGTTTTCTTTTCAGTATGACAGACTTAACCTGATCAAAGTAAGAAGTTTTTTTCTCCTAACTTCTATTAGATGTAGAGCTACTCCTACCTGCTTTTGCCCCCTCATCTGAGTCTTCCAGTCCCCGGACCCCCTGCACTGGGGAGATGATTTTAGGGGACTGTGTCTCTGCCCAGGGGCCTTGTATTCCCGTAGGTGCTTGCTCTTCAGACCTCTTCTAGGAGGCAATAGAAATGACCTCTGCTCAGCTCCCCACCCGTGGCAGCTCCGTCTTTGGGTACTTTTCCTGACTCCTTCTGTAACTTAACAAAACAAAATAATGAGGTTCAGCTGCCTGCCACCATAAAGCCAAACTCAGGAGGCAGATGCTGGTACAGAAGGAAAGAGGGTTTTATGCAGGTGCTGTACAACCTGGGAGAATGGTGGGCTCCCGTCTCTGCCATGGAAAATGTCCAACCGTGTCCTCAGCAAGGCCAAGACAAAGGCCAGTGTCCCGAGTTCCTGGTCCAATTTCAAGTACAGCCCTTCAGAGTCTGCAGGCAGCTGCTTAGCAGTCATAGTCCCAATCCAGTTCGTGTAGCTTGTCCCAGGCTGCTGTGCATTTAAGGCTCTGCCCTGGAGCCTGCGTGTAGAGTCTGCACGGCCATGGGCTATGTGGCTTCCAAGGCCAAAAGATCATGTACTCCCAGGAGAGTACCTACTGGCCAGTGCCTCACCAGGAAGGCAAAAGTGCGTGCACACGAACGAGGGAGGGGAGAGGAGAGAAGAGAGGTAGAAGGAGGAGACTAAGAGACTCCCTCCTGGAGGCTATGCACTCCGAGACTACGACAGCCACGTGGCCCATGGAGAGAACAGGTGAGTGCACTGCGCAAGTCTAGTGCATGCACAAGCGCACGTCACAACAGAGCACACGCGCTCTGTTCCCCTGGGACTACATTTGTTTTGGGTGTGGGCAGGCCAAGTGCTTTCTCAAAATAACCAATCAGCTTCCCAAACTTTCGAGTACTTCGGGGAGGCTCACCTCCCAAGCAGTCTGTTCTTTCCGCAGGCTAGGCTGACAGGTTTCTCTGGTCTAGCACTTCTCCCTGCACAAATTTTAACTCCTATGGCACATGTGCCTGCCTTTCCCTGGTCCCACCCCAATCTGGTACCAGAAGGGGTGGGTAGGGCTATCTTTTCTATCAGTTATCTTGCTAGCTTTTTGTGCTCAGGCCCTATTCATTGATATTTCTAGTTTTCTGTGCTCTCAGTGTAAGAACCTCCCCCTGCCATTGTCTTGGCCAATAGGGGAGCCTCCCTGGAACTCCAGACAGTCTTTCTACTGGTAACGCCTCCTCCCCTATTAGCCAATTCAATTTACAACTTGTTAGAAAAGCCCTCACTCCCATTCTGAGGTTCTGGTCTCCCCATGCCTCTGGCCCACGAAGGGGCATCTCAGTGAGCTCACAAAGCAGGCAGCCTCCCTCCTACCAACAAACTACCCTGCCCTCGCCTGCTGAGGCCCCCACAAGCTGCGCGCCCCTCCCCCTCCCCAGCCCATCAGGACTCAGTCCTGGTAGAACAGAGCCTTCAGTCTCTAAAATTTGAATTCAAGAGGCAGGTCAGAGTTCAGAAACTCAAGCCCACAATGGGTATTCTCAGGGACTACCATGGATTAGGCTGGAGGAGGGTGCCTAGTGTTTCCAGTGGCACCTCAGTGGTAGCAGATAAGAATCTGCCCAGAAATAGCTGGGCAGAGGTGGCCCATGCTGAGGAACAAGATAAAAATCCTTACTCTCTATGGTATATGAGGGGGAACCCCCCCAAAAACTGGAATTATCTTCTGGAGAGCAGGCCACTTGAGTATAGGCTTCCCCCACTAGCTGGGTGTTCTAGGAACCCATCTGTATCAGCATACCCGCTGGTGGTGTTGTAAGAGGCTGTGTTTGGCTTAAGTCAATTTTTTTTTTTGAAGACCCTTTCAGTGCATTTGCCCATTTCATGATGGGTGATTTACAAGCACACCTGCCCGCACCTCACTCAGTGTTCAGCAGTTTTTGACCAAAATGGCTTGACCCCTGTGTCCCACCCTCCCTATTCACCCAATCTCACCCTGAGGTACTTCTCTTGTTTACCCAGCTGAAAGAAGTCCTCAAAGATGTTTTGCCCATGTGAAAGAGGTGAAACAAAAAATGGCAGAAGCACTAAAAGGCATCAAAATTAACGAGTTCAAAAATTGATTTAAGCAATGGAAAAAAATCTCAATAGATATACTGCATCAAATGGAGAGTACTTTGAAGGTAACTGAAGTTTGAACATGTAAGGATAAATGCACATTTTTTTGTAAATAAATTCCAGTTTTGGGGGTCCCTTCTCATATTTCCTGTTTTTGCCCTTGAGAACACACATTTTTAAGCCCCTTCACAAAACAGCAAATGTTTCACACAACGAGATCACAAGGCGAGTCAGAGGAGAGGCACAGCTCCTGTTGTGGGTCTTTGACCCTTAGAAGTTCTCTGTCACAGATTTAGAAGGGACATGCATTTGTGTGCCAGGACTTCTTCTGTTGCCTGAGGCAGAGGGGAGAGCACTGCGTAGCAGTAATCAGGAAGGACCTTGGGTCCCCCTACCCAGCCCAAGTTCTGCTGCCCTTTTCCTCCCAGGGTCTTATGTGAAGATTAGGACAAGAAGGTGGCAGGGAGCTAGGGGCAGGTGAGAGAGAGGTTCTCAGCTGTGAAGCCGGGGCAGATGATCTGGCTGGGGTGATGAAATACAGGCAAACTATTGGCCAAGGGGCGGGCAGCTCCCAACGCATGCCTTTCACTGCTGGGGAAAGTGCTTGAATGAGTATCTGCGCAGCCTCAGGGCCTGCGACCACAGCGTCAGGGCCCAGGAATTCAGTGTCCCAGTGTGGAAACACCTGCAGGCTGACTTTCGATTCCACTTCAGGATTCCCGTGTGATAGTAAGTCCCTCGGTGGTGAGGTGGTTGGTGTCAGACATTTGGATTTGGCCCCTCTACCTGCTGTGGCCTTTGGTTCACAGGAGGAGACGAGGCAATGGTGGGAGTACGTGACTTCCAGGTGGGCCATAGCGGCTGCCTCTGTCTGGAAATGGCCTTGGAAAGCATCTAGCTGGGGAGATGGAGGGCCTGCCTTGCCTTCTGCCCGTCTGGCCATATTCTGGCCATTGAGCTCAGATATGAGGTTGAAACAAAGCCAGTCAGAGGCAGCAGAGCCCATGCCTGTGTTCCTCACTCACACTGCCCTTCCAGGTGATGGGGGAGAGTCTCTGTGGAGCTTCTGCTGGAATAGGAGAGCTGGGGAGGGGAGGTCCCATGGCCACGCCTTCCTCACCACACACACGCTCACTCACCCTGTACCCACTAGCCGCTGCCCGCAGTGGACATTCTGAGACAGTGGGCCCTTAGCACCAGAGGGAGGGGACAGGGGCGGTTAACTATGCCCAAGATCCGCAGCTCTGCCCACAGTTACAATGTCAAGCTGCAGGCAGCGTTCCCTTCCCCTAGTGACTACACCTGGATTACGCCCTTGGCCAGCTTTTTACAACTGGCAACACTCCAGCCCCAATCTGAATGTGTTGGATCTGCACCTCGAAGGATGGGGCCTAGGCGAGTGTTTGCACATGTGTGCACACGTCTGTTCCTCAGTGCCGTCTGCCTTCCTGGTGGGATGTGCGTGAAGGCCCCCAGGCCCATGAGATCAGAGAGACAAGGCATAGCCTTAGCCTTCCCCGCTTCCCCCTAAACACCTTTCAGTTACCTGGGCTGGGAATGGAGAGCACTGGCATTCTGGAGCTGGGGTGGAGTCTGGTTTTGCTGGTTGAATTGTGGTGCTGCACTTTGGGGGGACAGTTAGCAGTTATGTGCTCTAGCTTCCCTCCCGGTGCAGAGCCCCACCCCTGCCGGTACCACTGAGGACACAGTCAGTTGCTGAGCAGGAGTGGGAACAGGCTCAGCTGCTCGCTGACAACGGGATTGGGAGGGTTCCAGGCAGTCCCTTCCCCCCTCACACCCAGGCATTCTGCCTGCCTTCTGCAGAGGGGCTGACAGCAGCGGGAGGCCGGTGGTCTCCCTCAGCACTTTGCTTCTGGTCAGGGCCCATTGGGGACTGGGTCTTGGATGCCTGCCCCGCATCCTGTCCCCCATCAGAAGAACCTTGTGATGGGGCTCCGACTCCTTTCTGGTTGAGCTCTGGCTGGTGCTGCCACTGCCTGTCCCCCCAGCGCGGCAGAGCTGCCAGCATGGGCTGCCCCCGGCCTTCCTTCGGAGCTGCCTTGAGAAAGGAGGGCTCTCCTGAGCAGCCCTTGGGGAGTGTTCAGCTGCATTTGGACTCCTCGCTGCCGCCCTGCTGTCTGTGTCACCTGCCCTCCAGAGCCAGGAGAGCCTGGCTGCGCCCACCATCTCTTCCCTGACTAACGTGACTTCCTCTTTTATTTTGTCCTTTCAGAAAAGCCAGAGCTGGTATAATGTAAGTATCCCATTTCTGTTCTTGTGGGTGCGCGTGAGTGGGAGGGATGGGGACATGGTTGGGGATGGAGAAGTGTGGCATGCGGGAGGGGGCGCTGTCTGTGGTCTGAGCAGACGCAGGGGCTCAGGCAGGTGGGCCTCTGCCCCGACCAGCCCTCCATCAAACACCAGACATGGCAGTGCTGCTCTGCCACAGGGCAGGGCTCCTGGAAGGGCGGGTTTCATTCAGGGCACCCAAGGGGGCTGGGCACACCTCATCCTGCCCTGGACTCCTGGCCATGCCCCTGCAGACAGACTTCCTGGAAGAGACCAGCCGGGGCAGACCAACAGAATTCTGCCACGGAGACAGCCCTGGACACAGCTGAGGGCTCTCGTGTCTTTAACCCCACATGTCTACGTGGGGAGAGATGCAGGGAAGAATTTCCCCCAGTAGTACAGAGACTGTCCCATGTAGTGGCATTTGGACCCCCACCCCTGGGTGTACCTCAGAAGCCCCTTCTAGAGACACCCTCACAGTTGTGTCTGTGGTGGAGCTGAATGAAGCCTGGGGGCCTCTGTGGGGCAGTTTGGCCCGCTGCCCCAGGCCCGGAAACTGCATGGTGGGGCTGCCTCTCCTCACTATGCAGACGGGGCCTCAGGTTGTTGACATGTCCCCGGAGGAGTGGGGAACCGAGGTCTCTGCTGGCCTGTCGGGGGGGTGGGGGGGCTCCCGCCTGGGACTGCACAGTGGAGGAGCTAGCCATTTGCCCCGTGGTCTGACCTCACCTCCCTGCCAGGCCCCTGGCACTGCTGCTCCCACTTGATCCTGAGGGGTCACTCGGTCGCCATCTTCCCCTGTTCCTGAGCCCCAGGCTCTGCTCCAGCAGGTCACGTGGGCTTGGACAAGGGGTGGGACAGGGTGGCTGTGGGCGACAGAAGTTGAAGACACTCTGGGGATGGGATAGGGAGACGCTTGGGTTTAAGGCAGGGACTTGGGTCAGAATCACTTGGGGGGTGGGGCACAGGGATGTCTCTACTCAACTCAGTGATTCCCCAAATGTTCCCCACATGCCAGTGGCCGGCCCGAGGCTTCCCGCCTGCTCCACAGCAGCCTGCCCACCCCGGGGCGGTGGCTCCATGCATTGATCAATCTGCCTGACTTAGCCCAATGAAGCACAGACAAGGCAGAGGCGGGGGCTGTACCGATGTGGGGAGGTGAGGGCTGAGATGGCCTATGGGGGCACAGGGGGAGCGGGCAGCTTCAACTCTTCCTTCCCATCCTGCCACCTTGGCCGCCCCCTCCCCAGGCCCTTCCCTGGCCTCACGGCCTCCCTGCTGCATAGAGCACAGGTCCTTTGGGGTAGGGGGAGCAGTGAAGGAGCAAGAGGTGGGATTTCACATCCTTGACCCCACGAAACCTTCCACCCTTTTGAGCTGTCTTGCAAAGTCCATGTCCGAGTGGACCGGAGACACTTGGCTGTGGATGTTAGTGGAAACGCTCACACCGGGGCCCGCAGGCCTGTCCTGGTGGCTGCACTCTCCTCCTTCCTTGTCGCTTTGCACCAGGCCCACGTCATGCTTTCCCTTTCCCTGATTCCTTCCGTGCCCTTTCTGCTCTGACTTCCCTTTTCCTTCCCCACCTCTATTTTACCTCTTCCCTCTGGTTTCCAGTCTCCTGGCTGGCCCTCTCTCTGTGATTCTTGCGGACTTTGCTCTGTCCTGTCTTTCTCCTGTCCCTTCACCTCTGACTTCCTCTCCCTCAGCCCCGCACATACGAGCTGGCATCTGAGCACTCAGCAGAGGGACAGCTAGAAGTACATGCAGCCTCTTGGCTGCAGGGTGAGCTGCCACCGAAGGGCCCAGGAGTCAAGGGTTTTGATGACAGATACATGAGGGAGATCAGGGGAGCTGGGCAGGGCTGGGGACCTGCTTCCTGTCTGACTACCCCAGCCACTGGAGACGTGTGGAGGCAGTCAGCCCCGACTAACTCTGCCAAGCTTACAAAACCATCTGCAGAACACGTGGATCCCAGGCCTTCCCTGCCTCTCACCCTCTTTTCACCCTCCGCCCTCACCCTGAGTGAATATCAGGAGCATCATATCAGTGGCTGAGTGTGCAGGGGCCTCAGGCTGCCGCACTGGGGGTCCTTCCACATTCTCAGTGGTACCAGCCATCCTAGGACCCAGCTGGAAATGTCCTACTGCTGCTCCCTCCTCCTCTGCTCCCCGATTTAGGGTCACCAGGCAGATGTGGCTCCTGTGTCTGCTCTCCAGGGCCAGTTACTGCCCTCTTCTTGGTTGTGCTAATCTTCCTCTGAGGCTGAAGCTGAGAAATGACAAGGGACCTCCAGCTGGCCTGAGCCTCGGATGTCAGCTGTGTCCAGTTTACCTTCTCATTCTTTTGTCATGTGTTTTTATTTAAAAAAAAAAGATTTAATGTGTTTATTTTTAGAGAGAGGGGAAAGGAAGGAGAAAGAGAGGGAGAGAAACATCAATATGTGGTTGCTTCTCATGCACCCTCTACTGGTGACCTGGCCCACAACCCAGGCATGTGCCCTGACTGGGAATCGAACTGGCAACATTTCAGTTCAAAGGCCAGCCACACCAGCCAGGGTTGTCATGTGCTTTTATGTCCAAAGAAGAGTCAGCACCTGCCACAGTGGTTAGAGCCCTGGAGAGGATGCTTCAAGTACCTTCGGGCCCCTCCCCTGCCCAGTGAAACCCTTGCCCTCCCAGGGCCCAGACCAGAGCTCTGGCTCTGGCCCTGGGCTCTTCCCTTCGGGGTATCTGCTCCATGTGGCAGGCGTCACCCCCAGGTGTGCCCAGTCTGACGGGACCCTGGGCTGGAGTGTGGCTCTTCTCCTCATGTGATTGCCTGGTTTCATCCAGAAGCTGTGACCTGGGTGTTATCTCAGAGCCACCTGGGTCCCTGCACGTGGGCACAGGTGCCCTTGGGTGGCTACCTTGCTCCTTCAGTGCAGCGTGTGTGTGTCTGCTCTGGCGTGCAAATGCCCCACCAGGAAACTTCAGCTCAATCCCCCCCACCCCACCACCGGGCTGCAGAACTGCCTCCCAGGAATCTCTCCACAGTTTTTAGGAGGCCCTTGCCCTGCCCCTGTGGCTCTGGCCCGCTTCTCTGTTTTCCCTTCACCTGCCCAGTCCCTGTACCAGCCTCTGTATCTCCTGGACGGCTGGACTCTGACCCATGTCCCATTCTCGGCACCGCTGACGTCCTCTTTACAGTGTCCCTCCTGACACTAGTGGAGTGGTGGCAGCTTCTGTGCAGCCAGAGGCCCCATCCTTGCACTGGAAGTCCTGAAGATAGGTGAAGGCTTTGCAGGCCCAGCCCGAGGGACGCATGGAGACGCCCCGGCCAGACTCAGGCCAGCGGGAGTCAGGGCGGGATGGCCGGCCCACTAGGTAGACAGGCTGGGTCTGATGAGAGAAGCCGCCGCCCAGCACCTCTCCGCCCACTCACAGCCGCCTCCTTCATCTGTCTGTCTCTGCATTTTATCCGCTCATGATGACAAAGTACCTTGGCTTAAACAGTGGATCACAAGTGGTTGGACCCCAGGGGCACGGGGCGAGGCTGAGGCAGGGCTGTTAGGTGAAGGGTGAGGTTTGAAGGTGGTGTCCTCTGCAGCTGGCCACGTCCATCCCAGGCCTAATCACAACTACGTCTCTCACTCCACCATCCCAGTTTCAGCCGTCATGGCCCCCAGCGTGGGGGATGCAGCCCCAATGCAGCTGTGATGGAGGGATAAGCAGAAAGGGGGCTTTGGCTTCAGCAGGGGTCCGAGGACAGAGCTGGAGGCCAAAAGGCTGCAGGCTGTCCCTGAAGATGGCTCTGCGGGGTGCAGTGGGCTTGTGTTGAGGAGCAGGAGGCAGATGGTGGCAGAGGTCATCTCCCTGGTGCCTCGGGTAGGCGGAGGCAGCATCCTCACGTGCCTCACCTCTCTCTCTGGGGTCCGTCCCCTCCAAAGCCACCCGAGGAAGGAGCGCTCCTATGCTCAGAGGACAAGCGCCTGGACCCTGGCAGCTGGCCTGGGGTCAGAAGCTGGCTCTCCCAGTGAGGAAGGGGCGGTGTCCATGTTGCACTAAGGCCAAGGTATCTGGCAGGCCTGGGATTAAGAACCAGAGGAAGAGAGCTTTACAGGAATGAAATGGGCACCCTTGGGAACCGGAGTGGCAGTGCAGCACCCTGCTGCTGCCAACCTTGGTAGCCTGCTGTTGTTTTCTGGGGACTGACTCTGTTTCCCCCACTTCTGTTTGCCTCCCCTCTGTTATTTCCCCTTTGTTTGGAAGAGTCTTCCTGTCCCCCTTCAGTTGTTCTTAACTTGCCACAGAGTGGTCCAATCTCCTGGGGAGACCACACCCCTCCCCACTGTACTGTACCTTCTTGCATCACACCACTCCCACCCTGTGGCTTCTCTCAGGGCCCAGTCACTCCCCCACCCCGTCTCTTTATCTCCCATCTGGCTCCCCCCGCCCCGATTTGGTTGGGTTGAAAGGCCAGGGTTTCCTTTGAGAGTCTTAACTAGTGTCTTCCTAGATGAGGCCAATTCTCTGCCAGAATCTGCCTGTTTTTCTCCTGGGCTCCTTCCCACCCTGCCTCCCCCTGCTGTGCCCCAAGAGGGGGCACCACTTGGTCCCAGCGCCCAGTGTTTGCCACAGAGTTAATGTTTAGCTCAGGGCTAGTTCCCTGTGCTCAGACGCCGACCGCTGTTGCCCAGCCCGGCCCTGCCCTGCCCAGCCCTGCCTGGCTGACTGTGGGAGGGGGCGTAGGAGACAAAGGCTGACCCTGCACCTGCTTTACTCCGTGGCAACCCCAGCGGTCATCTCCACGTTTGGCCACAGCAATAGTCAGATGTTTCCGAGGAAGCACTGTAGAATGAGCCCTTGTGGGCCTAGGTCTTGGGGTCTGTGTGGCCCAGGACAGAAGCACCTGGTTGCCTGGCAAATGGAGCTCATGAATCTCTCTTTAGACCGCGAGGACGGGGCTGACACACGCAGGGCAGGGAGC